GGCAGAAGGTGACAGCTCTGGGGTCGGTGCCTGCCCTGGGCTGGCAGGAAGCTCTGTGTGAGGACGAAGCCCTGGCCAGCTGCTGTGTAGACCTTGAAGTTCTCACTTAATTCCTTGCAAGTGGTTTAGCATGGCAGGAAGGAAGCCAAAACGTTTAGAAACACCTGTGGCTCCCCGCTGGCGTTCCTGCCTTCCAGTGGTGCTCAGGATCCGCCGGCTCCTGACGGCTCAGAGCCAGGAGGAGGGAGCTGAACGCCCCGGCTCACTGGGAAAACAGCTCAAACAGGCGTTGGGTGAAGGGCTGCAAGAGTGAAACCACAACAGCCTGTGTTTTGGGTATTCGTGGGGTGTGTGAGAAGGGTCGGGGCTGCGGGGAGCTGCCTGCTCCTGTCCTGGGCTTGCAGTGGGACCAGCGCAGGCAGAGCCAGCTCCTCTCCCCTCTGCTGTGGCAGGAACCTGATTTTTGTTTGAGTTTTTCGCTTGGGTGCCTTGAGAGGTGGCCACATGGAGAAGGAGAACACGCTGTTTCCCCCTCACAGCCCAGTTTTCACCTCTCGAGGACTGGCTTTACCCTGCTGCCTTCCCTTCACCTTCCTTCCCCCCCAGCCAGGCTGGTGGTTGAGACAAGGGAAGTGGCCACCCCTCTGGAGGGACAGGCTGGGTCCTTGGGGAACTCCCCAGCCGAGCCCCTGGGTGCTGGGGCCACTAGAGAGCACCCACTGGTTGCCCAGTCCTTGGGCACAGGGTCCCAGGGGTGCAGGGTCCCTCCTGCTGCAGCCCCCCCCCAGCCCTGGGATGGGACCTGGCTCTGAAAAGTGACACGTGAGCAGAGCAGCAAAGTGGCATGAGAAGGCTCAGTGGCCAAGGCTGGGTGCTGGGTGGCCAGCGTGGCCGGGGGGGGCAATGCTGTGTCTCAGGGCAGCTCGCACGGGGGCTTCGGGCAGTTCTGTGGGGTCAGCGGGGTGGGTTTCTCTATCCAAAGGGATGTCTGGAAGTGACGACACTTCCATAAGGAAGGGTGCACAAGGGCAGGGGAGAAACCCCAGAGCGTGCCAGCCGTTGTGTGCCCGGGGCCACCTGGGGGCATTGAGTTATCAGCCATGGGAAGAGGGAGCATCCCGGCGAGGCTGGTGGAGCTGTGCTGGCTGGATCTCCTGGAAAAGGAAGTGTTTGTGCTGGTATTTCAATGGTCACCGCTCTCCTGAAGCCAGACAGGGATGTTTGGCTTCCGGAGGTGTTGGGTGGTTGCCTGCCACCCCAGGAACTGCTGCTCCCAGCCCTCCCGCAGCCTCTTGAGCTTCCTCCTCACTCCAGTTTTGTTTTTCAGGCACCTGCTTTGTTTTTAATTAAAAGCTTGGCTACTAAAGCCCGATTTCCCGGACCCAGCGGACGGGGGAGGCGTTTGTAAACACGGGCATTAACTCTTGTTTTAACAATCCCCGGGCTTCTCGCGAGCGCTGGGGCCAAGTTAACAGGTTGATTTAGCAGCTCTCAGTGCTGGGGAGGCCCTGGCAGCTCTTGGGGTGGAGATGGTGCTCCTCTGGGCAGCTCTTGGGGTGGAGATGGTGCTCCTCTGGGCAGCTCTTGGGGTGGAGATGGTGCTCCTCTGGGCAGCTCTTGGGGTGGGATGATGCTCCTCTGGGCAGCTCACACCATTTTGGCTGGGTCAATGAGCCGTTGTTCCAGCTGGACAAGCCCCACTGCTCAGCACCGTCTCTGGTGCTGGCTCCTGCAGGGCTGGAGCTTTGCTGGGTTTCTCCCAGAGGTTCCTCATGCTGGTTTTCTGGCTCTGGGAGGCCACAGGAGCTGAGCAGGGCTCCCCAACCTCTGCCATTCCATACCCAGCACACGCTGAGAGCTTCAGCTCCTGAGCAGGATGGAGTCCTTTCTCCTCTCATGCTGTGCCGGCCATCCTTGTCCTTCCAAGTTCCCTGGAGCGCACTCCACAAACCCCACCTTGCTGGAGGCAAGGGCAGTTCTCCAGCTAATGCAACACTCGGTGCCAGTTTCTCCTCAAAAAACCAATATCCTCAGGGCAAACATGTCCCAGGCAGAGCCTGTCCCTGCTGGAGGTCTCGGGAGGGGATGACAAGCCGAGCAGATGACGGTTCCTCGTGCTGGTGTGGACATTGCTCCCAGCCTGGTCTCTGCACGGAGGTTGGCAGGATCCACATGCTGCTCCCATGGAGGCAACTAGATGGAAATTGGGGAGTTCATTCCAGGGAGTGCTTGATCTTGGGCTCCTCAGCTTTGAAAGGCTTCTCAACGACACAAGTGTTGGCTCAGCCAAGGGATCTGCTGAGAAGAGCCCGGTCTCTGGTCCCGGTTTGGAAAGGTTGGATCCAGTGGTGTCTCTGAAACCACAGGGATTGCTCAAAATCTTACCCTGTGGCAGCAGGAGCCGTTCCCCCAGCGCCCGAGGGTGAGGATGGTTCCTCCTGCTCCGGCTTCGCTGCCCGGGGATCCCTGTCCTGCCTCTGCCTCCTGCTCTCCTGGAAGAGCCTCTGCTGGAGAACGAAGAAGCCTGGAAGAGCTCCCAAGCGGTGGTGGGTTTTGTGATGGTTGTCCCATGCAGCAGGATGGACTCGGCTGTCCCGGGAGCACTGTGAGGTGGCTCTTCTGCACCTGGGAAGGTGTGGGTTCCTCCTGGGGCAGGAAAAATTGCCGGCCAAGCTGGAGAGATCCTGGCTGGTGGGGAGGAAGCAGAGCGATGGTGATGGTGAGAGAGGGACCAAAACGGGGTCCAGCTGGGACCATGCGGAGCCACTGCCCGGTGACAGACAGGTTTAAGGAGCGTTTCCTCACCTGATGGAGGGGAAAAGGGAGCAGCTACAAAGGAGGTGGCTGTGGGGGAACATCTCCAGGAGCTGCCGAAGCTCAGTCCCCTGTGCTGCTGTCACCTTCTGCTATTCCTTTCTCCCAGCCCCTCTCCCTCCTCCTCCTCCCTCAGACCTTCCCCCACATCCCTCCCTCTTTCCTGGGTGAGCCGATACCCCTGAAATAAAAGTAAAAAAACCTTTTTTTGAGGCATAACTCTGCTGGCTGTTGGGTGAGCTGTGGTGTGAGACCTGAGCCCTGCAGGGACCGGGTGCTGGTGGGGCTTGGTGCTGCTGGTGGGACTCGATGCTGAGCCCCTCGCCCACGGTGCTGGGGTCTGGCAGAGCCACCAGCCCTGGCTGCCCCCTGGAGTGTTCTCCTCTGATCTCGTAAAAACTCAGCTCAAACAAATGGAAAAAAACTTTTTTTTTTTTTGGCTTGTGACTCATGGGGAAGCATGAGCATCTCTGGAGGTGCCTGTGGCTTTGGTGTTTGTATAAACCCCCCCTCTGCCTTAGGGACAGCAGTAGGTGACAGTCCGTGGTGGCCAGAGGTGCTGTCTGTGTTCAAGTACCAAGAAAACATAGAGAGCAGGTTGGGTTTTCTGGGTTTTGGTGATTCTTGTCCACACGCTTGAGTGAAAACGATTTTAGAGCAGGGTGGTTGCTGCTGGGACCAGGGGGGAGCCTGGGGGCAGCGCTGGGCCCCAGGAGGTGTTTGCTGGCTCAGCAGAACTCCTTGATTTTAAAAATACAAAAAAAATATCAAAGGTTGTGGAATCATGGAATTGTCCAGGTTGGAAGGGACCTTTCAGATCCTTAAGTCCAACCCTCAACCCACCATTGATAAACCCCCCCCGCTGACCCGTGTCCCTCAGCACCACGTCTGCCCGGCTTTGAAATGCCAAAGAATTGATTTCCTGAGGTGGGGACAGGAATGAAGCATTTCTGTTCATCCTGCACCCTCGGTCCCCTTGCTGTGGGTGTGGGTGCAGTGGGCACTGGGAGCTGCCCCACTCCTTCCTGTGCCTCAGGATCACCTTTTCACAATGAGAATCTTAGACTGGTTTGGGTTGGAAGGGACCCTAAAGCCCCCCCAGTGCCACCCCCTGCCCTGGGCAGGGACACCTCCCACCACACCACGTTGCTCCAAGCCCCCTCCAACCTGCCCTTGAACCCCTCCAGGGATGGGGCAGCCACAGCTTCTCTGGCCAACCTGGGCCAGGCTCTCCCCACCCTCCCACCAAACAAGTTCTTCCCCACAGCTCAGCTCCATCTCCCCTCTTTCAGGGTCCAACCCTTCCCCCTCCTCCTAGGGCTCCCCTCCCTCATCCAGAGTCCCTCCCCATCTCTCCTGGAGCCCCCCCCTTGAGGGACTGGAAGGGGCTCCAAGGTCTCCCCGGAGCCTTCTCTTCTCCAGGCTGAACCCCCCCAACTCTCTCAGTCCCCCCTCCCAGCAGAGGGGCTCCAGCCCTCCCAGCATCTCTGTGGCCTCCTCTGGCCCCATCCAGCAGCTCCATGCCCAAGAAGTCCCCCCGTGCCTGCAGCAGCCTGGTTTGCCGGGGGCAGCCGAGCAGCCGGGAGGAGCAGGAGTCGGAGAAGGACCACGTTCACACCTGAACCCTGGGGAGATGCACCTCTCGGGTCCCCCAGCCCGGCCGGGCAGAGGGAGGTGCGAAGGAGGTGTCCGCGCATCCGCCGGGTCCCTGAGGGGCTGATCCCTTCCCCGCTGGCACGTAGCAGCCTGCCTGGCCGCGGGGAAGCCGGGCAGGTTCCTCCAGCTGCACCAGGCCCTGGTCCCCGCAGACGGGGTGTGGAACCAGCCCAGCAGCTGCAGGAGCTGCACCGGGACGGGTGTCCAGACCCCAGGCCGAGAGGAGACGGGAGGGCGCTGGGGTGATGGCGAGCGAAGAGGAACGGCCATCGGCTCTCTCGGATCAGCAGGTAAAGTTGGGTTGAGGGTTGGACAAGATGGAACATAAAGGGTTCCACTCAAATATGAGGAGAAACTTCTTCGCAGTGAGGGTGACAGAGCCCTGGAACAGGCTGCCCAGGGAGGGTGTGGGGTCCCCTTCCTTGGAGATTTTCAAGACCCGCCTGGATGCTCCTGAGTAACATGCTCTGACAAGCTATAGGTAATCCTGCTTCAGCAGGGGAGTTGGACTAGATGATCTCTATGGTCCCTTCCAACTCTAAAAAATTCAGTGAAATTCAGTGAAATCTTTAAGGTCCCTTCCAACCTAGAAGATTCTGTGATTCTGTAAAGGCTTGTGTCTGCAGGAAACCCTCTGCAGAGACCTGGGGAAGCCACCGCATCCCTCAGGCCCCCCCAGCGTGTCCCAGCAGAAGGGGTTTCCCTTATGCCAGAGATGGGGGGGCAACACCATGGGGGTGCTGCAAGAGGTGGCCACGGCTGCTGGCCAAGGGGTCCCAGCTTCCCATCTGGGGCTTTGCTCGCCCAAACGGTGCTTCCCAGGGCTCCTGCTCCGTGGTCCCTGTGTGACTCACCGGCCACGGGACCGTCCGGCTCCGGCGGTCGCTCCGGTTCCTCCGTGGTGGCCCCACGCTCTGATCTGCCAGCCCTTCTCAGCCCCGAGCGGGACGCGGCTCCTCGGCTCTCCCCAGCCCCAGGCGAGGGAAACCCGGGTCCCATGGCCAGGCAAGCTCGGGGGGGGGCTCCTGGGAACCCCCCTCCTGCAGCCACCACCGAGGGGCTGAGCGCCCCGGGGCTGGTGAAGAACTGGCCACTGGCCCCTCCGCTTTGGGAAGGGCTCCTGGGCACAGCCTTTGGGGGAAAACATGTTTTTCTCTCAAATTTGCCCGCTCCATGGTGGCACACGGGCACCTGTCGCTGCTTCGGCCGGGGATGCCCAAACCTCTGTGTCCCCCCAAACCTCTGTGTCCCCCCACACCGTGGGGCAACCGAGGGTCCCGCCGTGGCTCCTCTCGATCTCTCTCCCCCAGGTCTTCCTGCTGACGTGCATCTACCTGCCGGCCTCGCTGCTGAGGTGGGTTCTGTCCCCCTGCTCCTTCTGCTGTAGCTGGGCCCTGCTGATCCCCACCCACCCCACACCCCTGCCAGCCCCTGAGCACAGGGTCCCCCCCAGGATGGGCAGGGGCACCCCCATCTCTGCTCCATCAGGATGTTACCCCCCAGCCTCGTCTCTTCCAGCCTCCTGGGCAGTGGGTCGGTCCTCACCGTCACCTCCCGGCGCAGGCGATGCTGCCACATCCAGGTGAGTGCCACTGGCTCCTGGGGACACCGGGATGGGTTTTGGCCCCAGTTAAGCCCCGGGCAGCACCGGCTGCTGCACAGGGGGCTGGAGGGGGGGTGGTGGGAGATGCAGGATGCTCACACCAGGCTCCCCAGGGAGCAGCCGGTCCCCGCTCCTCTCCCGGGGAGGGACGTGGTGGTGGCAGCTCTGTGGAGAGGCTGCTGCCACCGGGGTGACACTGCCAGCCAGCCCTAACGCTGTGTCCCGTCCCCCAGCTTCGCCCCCTTTTCCTCCTCGCCCTGGCGGATTTCCTGGCCGCCGCGGCGGTGCTGGGCACGGCCACCATCCAGCTGCTGCCAGCCCGGCTCTTCATCCCCGCGTACGCTGCCTGCCCCTACGGACAGATGCTGGCCACGGTAAGGGGGGGTCACATCACCCCAGGGGGCTGGGGACCCCCTCCTGTCCTGCCGGGAACAGCTGAGACCGGCCAAAGGCTGGAGTGTCCCCGGGGAACTCCCGGGGTGGGGAACTGCTTCTCCTTCTTCCCCTCGTCACTGTCCTGAGCCACCGAGGCTGGTTCCCTGGGGAAATGTGCCCGGTGTTTCTTCCCAGCCCCAGTGAGGAGAGCACCTCTTATGAGGAGAGGCTGAGGGAACTGGGGGTGTTCAGCCTGGAGAAGAGGAGGCTGAGGGGAGACCTTATTGCTCTCTACAACTCCCTGAAAGGAGGGTGTAGAGAGATGGGGGTCAGTCTCTTCTCCCAAGTCACAGGAGACAGGACAAGGGGAAATGGCCTCAAGTTGCACCAGGGGAGGTTCAGGCTGGATATCAGGAAAAATTTTTTCACTGAAAGGGTTCTCAGCCATTGGAATGGGCTGCCCAGGGAGGTGGTTGAGGCCCCATCCCTGGAGGTGTTCAAAAGACGGGTTGATGTAGTGCTGGGAGGTCTGGTTTAGTGATGATGCTCCTTGTTTGTTGTGTGGGTGTCTATTTTTGTCAGTTGGGTTGACGGTTGGACAAGATGATCTTTAAGGTCCCTTCCAACCTAGAAGATTCTGTGATTCTGTGTCTCCCCACAGCATCCCTCTCGCCCCTCCATGCCCTGCCACCACATCTGGGGTGGCAAACCTGAGTGGAGCCTCCTATGTGTGCCAGAGCAAAACAGAGCCCAGTGCCTGCGGCTCCACCGGCTCCTCTCTGCCCTGCCTGGCCCACGGACCCGTGGTGGGCAATGCCACCAGGCTTGTCCTGCTGGCAATGGAGCCTTTGCCTCAGCCACGCAGGGGGACGGGGACCAGGAGGGGCTCAGCGCCGCGGGGCCAGCTCTGTTCCACGTTGCACATTCCAGCCTGCCTGGCTGCGTAGGGCATGGGGCGACCATCACCGTGGTTGCAGGCCTGCTGGTGGGACACAGGGGTAGAGCCCTCTTTGTGCCACCCAGAGCCCAGCACAGACCCGAGTGGTCAGTGCTGGTGCCACCCAGTCCCCCTCCCCGGGGTGGGCACAGGGGCGGCAGGAGGACGTTTGGTTTTGATGCCACATCTTGGAGAGCTGCTCCTTCGCTGCGTGGCTGCTCCTGGCACAGCTCTGCTGGGGGGACAGTGGGGACATCGGGGTGCAGAGCCCCAGGAGGGACGGGGGAAGGTGCCTTCGGGGCACGGGGCACAGCAGGAGCCCCCCTCTTCCTCTCCTCTCCCAGACCTTCTACGCCGTCTCGTTCCTGATGGTCATCGTCTACGCGTACGAAGCCTATCGCACCGTCCAGGGCTGGAGAGCCTGGCACGTCGCAGCGCTGCAGGTGGGTGGCCACCAGCCGTGGTGCAGCCCAGCATCACCCTTCCTGCACCCTGGGGAGCAGTTGGGGGGGTCCAAGGGCAGCCCCCATCCCTGGGCATCAGTGGGTTCCCCGGTGGAGCTGGGCTGGACCCTCGAGCTGCTGCAGGACCTGCAGCCACCGGTGGTTTCCCCCTGCAGGAGAGGAGCGAGTGCCTGGAGAGCCTGTGGCAGGGGCTGCCCTACATCTTGGCCTGGTAGGTGACCACTGCCAGCCCCTCACCCCTCGCTGCCCCTCAGGATGGCCCTGCTCACCTCCATCTCCCCTGCAAGGCTGGTGCCGGCGCTCACCCTCCTGGGGCAGCTGATCGCCCACGGCACCTCCACCACCACCGACATCGCCCCAAAACCCATCGAGCCCGTCCTGCCGTGGAGAGGAAACTGCTCCAATGAGACCTACAGCCTTTACTGCTCCAGGTACCCGCTGTCCTGCCACCCTGACCTGCAGGGGGGAGCCGGGGGTGGGCACCCCCCTCCCTTCCCAACAGGCTTGGGCACAACTCCGGGTGGTGGGGGCTTTGGGGTGGGGGAAGGAGTCAAAAGCTGCCCCAGGGAGGGTGCTGTGGCATTAGGGGACCACCACCAGCACCCTGTGTCCTTGCAGCTGCCTGCTCCTCATCCGCCGGGCCCAGGATATCTGCTTCCAGGTGAGCGCTGCCGGGTGCCCGTCCCTCCCCCTGTCCATAGAATCATGCCATGGGTTGGGTTATTGTTAATATTGTTATATGTTAAGGGACCTTAAAGCCCCCCCAGTGCCACCCCCTGCCCTAGGCAGGGACACCTCCCACCAGCCCAGGTTGCTCCAAGCCCCCTCCAACCTGCCCTTGAACCCCTCCAGGGATGGGGCAGCCACAGCTTCTCTGCCCAACCTGGGCCAGGCTCTCCCCACCCTCCCACCAAACAAGTTCTTCCCCACAGCTCAGCTCCATCTCCCCTCTTTCAGGGTCCAACCCTTCCCCCTCCTCCTAGGGCTCCCCTCCCTCACCCAGAGTCCCTCCCCAGCTTTCCTGGAGCCCCTTGAGGGGCAGGGGGGCTCAGAAGGGCCCTGGGAAGGCAGGAGATGGGTGGGCAGATGCTGCTGTAGGGATGGGATGAGGGTGTCCCTGCTTGAGCAGAGGCTGGGGGGCAGCTCCCTGCCCCATGGCTGGCTGCTGTGGGGCTCATGGCACGGCTCAGCCCTGCCCCCATGGAAGGAGCCGCTGGGGGCCACGGCCCCACTGATTCCCCATTGCCTCCCAGTACGTGGGTAGGAAGGACGTGGGCCTGGAGGGCAAAATCATCTTCTTCTTGTACCTGCTGCTGGTGCTGAGCTGCTGCACGGTGAGCCATGGGGCTAGTGGGGACATGGGGGCAGTAGCCAGCGCTCCCCGGGCTGACGCCGCTCCCGTCGCCCAGCTCCTCTACCGCCGGGTGAAGCTCTGGTGCCGGAGGAACGCGGCGGAGCCCCTGCTCACCCTGGAGAAGGACGGCTTCGCAGGCAGGAGCATCCGCAGCGTCAGCAGGGTCTCCCACTACTTCCAGCTGGTTTTCCTGCTCTGCTGGGCACCAGGCAAGTCACGGTGGAGATGGTGTCCGGTCCCCCCATCCCCAGCCCCTTTGTTCCTGGGTTGAGACAGCTCCCAGGCTTTTCCCAGTGGTGCCCAGGGCCAGGCCAAGAGGGAACGGGCACCAACTGGAGCAGGGGAAGCTCCATGTGAACATGAGGAGGCCGTTGTTTGGTGTGAGGGTGGCAGAGGCCTGGCAGAGGCTGCCCAGAGAGGTGGTGGAGTCTCCTTCTCTGGAGACATTGCAACCCCCCTGGAGACATTGCTGTGGGAGCTGCTGTGGGTGCCCCTGCTCTGGCAGGGGGTTGGCCTGGGTGCTCTCCAGAGGTCCCTGCCAGCCCCATGTAATTCTCTGATTCTGTGAGAGAAGAGGCTGAGATTGAATAGTTGCAAAGGCTCCAGGCATCTGTAGGACCTGGGGCTGGGCAGCCAGCCCCAATCCCCACCCGAGTCCCACCGGCGCCTGGTTTAACCCCCCCGGCTCTTACAGTGACAGGTTTTTCCAGCAGGATTGCCTGAGCCACAGGGTGGATTGTGTTTGATGGACCTGCTTTTAATCAACCTCCCATCCCTCTGGGATTGTGCCTTCAGCCCTGAGTGTGCTTTCAGGCACCCAGAAACCTGTGGTGATGAGTTCCCTGAGGACTTGGGCAGGGTGATGGGAAGGACCTTGTACACATGTGTTTGTCCTGCACAGAGCCTTGTGCCAGGGGACACAAATCCTGGTGGGGAAGAATGCTTGGTGAGGGAAAACTCCCCATGAAGCATTGTCAGAGAGAGGGACCAAGACATGTCCTTCTTTTGTCTTCCATCCGCAGCCTTCCTCCTCACCCTCCTCTCCTTCACCAGCATCAAACCTTCTTCGGTCTTTGTCCTCTACATTGCTACGGTGAGTAAAGACCTGGTTTCCTGGGCTCCGGAGCTGGGACATCTGTCCCCATCAGAGGTGTGAGAGGTGATGGGGTGGGGGGACCCTGGTGGGACAGGGCGGCTGTGAGAGGGGAGCTCTTCCCTTGTTTGAGGTGACCACACCAAGAGGAAGGCCACCTTGTGCCCTGGTGGCCAAGAAGGCCGATGGCATCCTGGTGGGCATCAGAAGAGCGTGGCCAGCAGGTGGAGGGAGGTCATCCTGCCCCTCTGCTCTGCCCTGGGGAGGCCCCAGCTGCAGCACTGGGACCAGTGCTGGGCTCCCCAGTTCCAGAAGGCCAGGGAAGTGGTGGAGAGGGCAGAGCAAAGGGCTGCCAAGATGGTGAGGGGCCTAGAGCATCTCTGTGCTGAGGAAAGGCTGAGGGACTTGGGTGTGTTTAGTGTGGAGAAGAGCAGAGGGAGGGGGGATCTGCTCAAGGCCTGGCAATCCTTCCAGGGTGGGTGTCAGGAGGATGGGGCCAGGCTTTTCCCAGTGGTGCCCAGGGCCAGGCCAAGAGGGACCGGGCACCAACTGGAGCAGGGGAAGCTCCATGGGAACACCATGAGGAGGCCGTTGTTTGGTGTGAGGGTGGCAGAGGCCTGGCAGAGGCTGCCCAGAGAGGTGGTGGAGTCTCCTTCTCTGGAGACATCGCAACCCCCCTGGAGACGTTGCTGTGGGAGCTGCTGTGGGTGCCCCTGCTCTGGCAGGGGGTTGGCCTGGGTGCTCTCCAGAGGTCCCTGCCAACCCCTGCCACTCTGGGATTCCTGTGTCCCCATGCCCTCCTGCCTGGGCACTGACAGGGCCTGACCTCCCTGTTTGTGAGACCAGTGGGGTTTGCAGGTGAGGGGCAGGTCAAGGCAGCACTGGCCACTTCTGTCTCTCTCTCTCTCGCAGGCCCTGACCGTCTCCCTCCAGGGCTTCCTCCACAGCTTGGTCTATGGCTGGATGAGGAGAAACTTCCGTCAGGAGGCGGTGGACGGAAGACCCTCCCTGCAGCACCCCCGGGGCCTCCAGGCTTTCTATGATGAGTCCCTGGGGGCTGGTCCTTAGGCTGCCCCCCAGCCTGGGCTGCCCCAAAGCCTGGGTGGGATTTACACTGTCCCAGGAAGCTCCACACAGCCCATCCATGGCCGGGCAGGATCTCCCCAGGCTCGTCCCTTCGTGCCTGGAAGGGCTGGAGCAAGGGCAGGTTCCCCCCCGTGCTGGGTGCTGCGGTGGCTCTGTCCCCATGAGAATCCCACCTGTAGGGCCTTGGCTTCCCACCCCCCTGCACCATGGAGACACCAAAACCAGGAGAGACCCATTGGGAGGTGGGACAGACTGGAAGAAGGATGTCCCTGATCTGTACCACCTCTCAGCCATCAGCAGCAGAAGGGCTCCACAGGCCCAGGAGCACTCAGGTGCCGTGGGACAAGGCTGGTGGCATGTAAATTTGGCAACCCCCAGACCTTCCAGTGACTGAGCATGGACTGTGGCTGCCCCAGGGGAGGTGGTGGCTCTTTCTGGTTTGTTGGGGCTTGTTTGGGTTCTGCTTTCTGCCAGAGCAATCCCAGTTTCTCCGCGGGGCTCAGGAGAAGGTGCTTAAATAAAGGTGTGATGGTCGAGGTGCTCTTGGGTTCCCTGCTGTTGGATAAATAGCAAGGAGGGGGCTCATGCCTCTGTCCTGCCTCAGGGGGGAGGTTCCTGGTCAAGGCCATATCCACAGAGATGAAGGAACCAAGGATGGGGGTGGTTCTGCCCTCACAGCCTCCTGCCGGATCGCAGCTTCTCCACCATCAAATTAAAGTCAGCCCAAATGCTTGCTCTGGGGCCAGGAGTGCTCGAGCACCATCAACCTGTGTGAAGACAAACCCTTTGGGGTGTTGGTGGGGCCATGCTCACCCCCACCGTGTGGCAATGTCACCAAAGAGAACTTTTGGGGACCTCTGGCCCAGGGAAAACAGCTCAAGGCAAGAGCTGAGGTGCCATCGAGAGCTGCTGAGGCTGGGGATGGAGATGGTGCTGAGGGGTCAGAAGCAGGGGTGTGAGGGCCCACCAGGGCTGCGGTGGGTGACAGGGGACCATGGGAAGAGACTTCTAGAATCTTAGAATGGTTTGGGTTGGAAAGGACCCTAAAGCCCCCCCCAGTGCCACCCCCTGCCCTGGGCAGGGACACCTCCCACCAGCCCAGGTTGCTCCAAGCCCCCTCCAACCTGCCCTTGAACCCCTCCAGGGATGGGGCAGCCACAGCTTCTCTGCCCAACCTGGGCCAGGCTCTCACCACCCTCCCACCAAACAAGTTCTTCCCCACAGCTCAGCTCCATCTCCCCTCTTGCAGGGTCCAACCCTTCCCCCTCCTCCTAGGGCTCCCCTCCCTCATCCAGAGTCCCTCCCCAGCTTTCCTGGAGCCCCCCCCTTTGAGGGACTGGAAGGGGCTCCAAGGTCTCCCCGGAGCCTTCTCTTCTCCAGGCTGAACCCCCCCAATTCTCTCAGCCCCCCCCTCCCAGCAGAGGGGCTCCAGCCCTCCCAGCATCTCCGTGGCCTCGTCTGGCCCCCTCCAACAGCTCCGTGTCCTTCTGTGCTGAGGTCTCCAGAGCTGGAGACTCTTAACAGGGACTGATGGCCATGAGCTCAACCACATCTCTGCAGGGAAACCCCACTCCTAACCAAACGAACCTACTAAAGCCCCCAAAACAGGACAAATCTTGGCTTTTTTTTTTTTTTTTAAACTAATAATTTTCTACTATACATTAGTGCTTGTGTCCAGCAGAGCAGGGAGGCACGCAGGGCTCTGTACCACACACACCCCGTACAGCCCGGGCTGTGGAGCATCGCCCCGAATCCATCCCTATGGGGAGGGGGTCTCCTCGCTCGCCCCCTTCCAGGCTGGAGCCGGTGGGGAACCCAGCAGCCTGCCCCTCTCCCTGCCTGGATCTGGGGGGAAAAAGGGGCAAAAAGGGTTCAGCCACCTCCCCACCCCCCCAAGTCTCACCAACATCTGCCCCCACAACCAGGAGCCCCAAGGCTTTCCTGCTTCCAGCCCAGGGGGGAGCTGGAGGGGGCTCTCCCCACCGCCCCCGGGCAGAGGCTGCTCCAGCAGCTCCCACCCAGCAAAGCTGTAAAAATCAGACTCTTCCAAGGTGTTTTTTCAGCCCGTTGTCCAACCCCAGGAGACACCTCCCTGCCCAAGGCAGAGCTCCAGCTCTCTTGTACGTTCTTAGAGCGCACAAACTTGTTTTTTTTTCAAGCAGAATAAATGACATTTGGAGGCCAGCTCCTCTCCGTGGAGCTCCTGTAGCTGCTGTCACTCGCGCAGCCACCATCTCTGGAGAGCTCTGATCCTGCAGATGCACCAGCCCCTTCTTCTTCTTCTCTTGTCTCTGCCTTGGAGAAAAGAAATCAGCGTTCCAGGTCCAGCAGTTCATCCTCCCACTCCCACCACAGCCCAAGCTCTGGCCGGCAGGAGAAGGGGCAGCCACAATATTTTCACATCATTTGTACGTGGGGGACGAGCGTCTCTCTCGTTACCACCCTGAAAACATCTCCCCCCTCCAGGGCAGCTCCTGCTTCTTCCAGGCGGAATGATGGCGTTGGAGTTTTGAGAGCCCAAGCAGTAGCCAAGGATGGATGTGCAGGTGTGGGCCAGGTGTGTTTCATACGCCCTCTCGCATGCTGCTGGGAGCCTGGCCGGCACCTTCTGACCCACCAACAGCCACACAGGGAAGAGTTTCTCATTTCCAGCCCCTGAATCCAGCTCCTCGAAGCAGGACCAGATGGAGAAAAGCACACAGGGTTCCTCATTCCTGCTACAGCTCCAACCCGCACACTCAAAATCCTCCACGGCGGTGAGCAAGGTCCAGATCAGGTCACGGTGGCTGAATCAGGGAAGAACTTTCCTTTCTGGTGGCTGGGAGCAGGGTGGGAGGACCCTTCCTTCTCCCAGAGAGTCCCGTCACCGCGCTCAGTGGTGGTGCAGCACGGCCTGGAGATCCTCTGGCAAGGAGCCGATGATGGTCTCGATGTAGAGGCCCACGCGCTGCAGAGTCTCCTCCTTCACGGGGAGGTGCTGGCACCTGGCTCGGACCTACGGGACACGGAGGAGAGGACAGAGGGATTTGATAAGAGCTTCAAAGCTCCTCTTTCCTCTTTCAGAAAACTCCTTATTGTCTCTTTAGTTCGAGGCACGAGACAACAGACAAAACTGTCACCTGAGCCTCAGGGAGATGAAAAGAGAACTCTGAATCCTGTTCTACACCAACACTGAGGTGTCAGGACTGTCCCATTTGCCAGTTCTCCAAATTGGGGGGTGAGAACCAAGCTACAAGTGTGAGCTGTGTCCCCACTCCCTCCCGGCCACAGAGGTACTGATGGGTAGGAAGGAGCCTGGGAAGAAGGGAGGAAAACTCACCAACTTCTCCCGAAGCTTTAGGACCAGGTCTACGATCTCCACCTCGGACTTGTCCTTCATCCAGGCCACGATGTTCTAAAAAGAGAGAAGAGCTTTCTTCAGGGGACATTTCTTCTTTAGAGAAGCTTTTCTCAAGGAGATACCCCTAAGCAAAGCCTGAATTAAAAGCCAGGAGGAGGTTTCTCATCCCCTTTCTCAACTCTGCTGACAGCACCTATGCCTCAAGGAGCAAGACAGAGCTCTCCCCACCGTTCTGGCCGTGCTGGCATCAGGCTCTTGACTGCAAGAGGAGAATCAAGGAAGGGGCAGTAAAAACCAGGTTCCCTTCCTGCAGCCAGACCAGGGACCTTGTGCTGTGCTCAGGATTTAAATCTATTTGCCAGAGACAGGCCTGTTAAAGAAGGAGCCAGCTTTGGCCTTCCTCACACCCTGCTGGAGGCCCTGCCCCACACAGGGAAGCAGCCACTGGGGCTGAAGATGCCCCTGAGTCCACCAGAGCTCCCAGACTCTCCCAGTTTAAGAAACTCTACCAGCATCACTACTAAAAATCCTACCCATTCGCATTAGTGTGCTGGTGGACACCAGGATGCCCAGGAGCCAGCAATGGGCCCTGGTGGCCAAGAAGGCCAAGGGCATCCTGGGGGGCATCAAGAAGAGCGTGGCCGGCAGGTGGAGGGAGGTCATCCTGCCCCTCTGCTCTGCCCTGGGGAGGCCCCAGCTGCAGCACTGGGACCAGTGCTGGGCTCCCCAGTTCCAGAAGGCCAGGGAAGTGGTGGAGAGGGCAGAGCAAAGGGCTGCCAAGATGGGGAGGGGCCTAGAGCATCTCTGTGCTGAGGAAAGGCTGAGGGACTTGGGTGTGTTTAGTGTGGAGAAGAGCAGAGGGAGGGGGGATCTGCTCAAGGCCTGGCAATCCTTCCAGGGTGGGTGTCAGGAGGATGGGGCCAGGCTTTTCCCAGTGGTGCCCAGGGCCAGGCCAAGAGGGAACGGGCACCAACTGGAGCAGGGGAAGCTCCATGGGAACACCATGAGGAGGCCGTTGTTTGGTGTGAGGGTGGCAGAGGCCTGGCAGAGGCTGCCCAGAGAGGTGGTGGAGTCTCCTTCTCTGGAGACATTGCAACCCCCCTGGAGACGTTGCTGTGGGAGCTGCTGTGGGTGCCCCTGCTCTGGCAGGGGGTTGGACTGGGTGCTCTCCAGAGGTCCCTGCCAGCCCCACATCACTCTGGGGTTCTGTGCCTTCATCTCCCTGGTTCCACCTGAGAAGTATCACCTTGGCCTTGGTTTGAATTCCTGGAGCTGGAACATACCGCTTCACAGATGGCCTCCAAATGAAGGGCCTCCAGCTTCTGGGTCATTTCCTTGTGCCTCTGACGGTACCAGCCATCAAAGTTGGGAGACTTGAAGAAACGCCTGCAGGAGGAGAAGGGACAGTGAGAAGGGGACAGAGCAGGACCCGGAGAAGCGTAATGGTTCCACCGCACACAGATTCCCCATCCTACCACAGCAGGCACAGACGTGAGAGCCAAAGACATCCTGATTCATGGTGTCATTAAGGATGGCAACAGATTATGAGCTAATACGCTCTTTTCCTATCTTGTCTGATCCAAATGTTTCTCTTCTGCCAGGCATTAATGTGATACAGCTCAGCAGCTTTAGCAGATTGTCACCAAGAGAGGGACAATCCTGCCAGTCTCATGCCCCAGCCAAGGCAAGAAGCAGGGCTCTTTGCCCTCTCTGGCCTTATTTTGGCCCATTTTTCCTTGGGAGTTATGACAGGTGGGAGTTATGAGTTGGGACTCAGCCTGGAGAAGAGAAGGCTCCGGGGAGACCTTGGAGACCCTTCCAGTCCCTCAAAGGGGGACCTCCAGGAAAGCTGGGGAGGGACTCTGGATGAGGGAGGGGAGCCCTAGGAGGAGGGGGAAGGGTTTGACCCTGAAAGAGGGGAGATGGAGCTGAGCTGTGGGGAAGAACTTGTTTGGTGGGAGGGTGGTGAGAGCCTGGCCCAGGTTGGGCAGAGAAGCTGTGGCTGCCCCATCCCTGGAGGGGTTCAAGGGCAGGTTGGAGGGGGCTTGGAGCAACCTGGTGTGGTGGGAGGTGTCCCTGCCCAGGGCAGGGGGTGGCACTGGGGGGGCTTTAAGGTCCCTTCAACCCAAACCATCCTAAGATTTATGATTCTATGACAGCTGGGATGGTTCATTCACATTCCTCTGCAGCATCTTGCTTAATTCCTCACCTTTCCTGATATTTAAAGCTTTCGACCATTTGCCCGCAGGGACCTAAGGCCCATATCACTGTGATTTACAGTCTCCTGCACAAAGGGATCATCCAGGCTACGGCAAAGGATGTGCAGCTCTCACCTCCCCAGCGCAGTACAGTAACGAGTCTCTGCTTCTAATGAGCTACGCAGGAACATGAACAGGGGGCAGCACAACACCTGGTTTCATCTCACAGTGTTAAAGAATTTTAGATCGAATTCAAAATGGGACTGAAAAGCCACTAACTGCAAACCAGGGCTGCGGCGGCAGGGAAAGAAAAAGATGAGAAAGATTGCAATGCCACTTCAACGGAGCCACAGCCCCTCCAGCAGCACATCCCTTGCCACTCCTCGATTATCAGCAGGGACATCTCAACGCTGTGCTTCAGCCTTTTCCTCCACTTTTCCTCCATTCCATGTCCCTTCCAGTCACCTCCTCAGGCCACCTGCAGGGAGCACCTCACCAGCAGAGCTCAGCTGATATTTATACCGTTTCTTTTTGCGGCTTCAAGGACCTCTAAACCCAGCCAAGAGCTCGAGATGCCGCTGGGACACAGACAGATTTATTTTTAGGAACTGAAGGAACACAAGAAATAGTATATACACGAAATCTCACACAGTTAAGAACCCTGGAAGGTGTAAACTCCTGCATGTCCACCAGTTGCCTGCAAAACCTCCCCCAATTTATTGAAGCAGCTTTTTGTTTGTTACTGTTTTTGAAAATATTAGATATCCCAAATGAAATCTGTCTACCACACCCCCACCGTAAGGAGTGGAACCGCTGGTTTTCAATTAAATATATTAAATCCCCAAATGGTACAAACATTATTACACAACAAAACATACTGATTCCTGTCTCTGCTCATTTTCTGGAACTTTTTCCCTTCTCCAGCTCCAGACATTGCCCGTTTCCCTTCCCACTGGGGTAGCCACTTTCTGCATCTTTCCTACTCATATTGTGATGTGCCTTCCCCATCCCATTTAGAGCTGATTATCCTTGACAAGAAAGATGAACCAACTCTCCTGCAAGCTCTCTTAAGTTCTCCCCTGAAGAAACTACATCCTTCTGTGTTCCACCAGCATGGCCACCCCGCAGTAATAATGAAACACCGTTGTCCTGAGTGTCTTCATCCTGAGCTGGATGAAGACCTGCGAGTTTGTGCATCCCATCTGCCTGGGAGCAGACACTTCAAAAAGAAAGACTCCCTGGAGGACAATCAATGACATCTCTGATGTCAGAGACGAGTCCCCCTCTCCAGCAGGGAGGGCTTAGTTTAAGTTCCTCAAGGGGGTGAGTTGACAGTGTCTAAACCCGACTGGATCTACTTATTTAAGAGATTATGTAAAACGCAGGATTTATTCTGCCCTGCCTTTGCTTTTCCTGGCCATCACCACTCCTCGTAGACATGAGTTTTTCAGGTCTCTGTCCTGAAACTCCCTTTTTCCTCCCAATTCTAACTCCGGGTTTGATGACCACTATGACCTGCACCAGCTGTCAAGGGGATATGGTGAGGAATTGCCAAAGCCCTACCTGTAGAGGCCCAACCAGTCGCCCTTGAGCACACAGGTGAGCTGGGGACCAGCGTGTTCCAGGGTCTTCATGAAATCTTCCTGGCGGAAAGGACGGATCTGCGGAGGATTCTGCACAACAGAAGGACCGTGTTACACGGCACCCAAAAGAAACAGGGAGGGGGAAATGAGGTTCTTATTTATAATGGAAGAGGCTGCACAAGGCAGACTCAAGGAGAACAAAAAACCCCACGTGAACACCTTAACCAGCCTCGTGAGTGACATTCAAATTAGACTGACAATAGCTGAGCTCACTGCAAAACAGGAAGCATCTGCCCCAATGTTTGTTTCAGCTTTTTCTTTTTTTATTTTTAAAGGAGTAATAACCCTCTTCCTTCAGGAGGGAAGTTCACTGAGAGTATCAGAGCACGGGATCAGCATATGGCAGAACTATTCCCCGTCCCTGCAGCCAGAGGAGAGCAGAAGTGACTGGAAAAGTGAACGTACCTTCCATGGAGTAATGGCTCTCTGCAGAGGCATCAGACTCGCAATATAATGTTCCTGAGAAGAAATACCCCCCAAAAAAAATGAAGAAAAAAGATGTTACAACAATCAAGGAGCCTCTTGTGTGGTCACTGAGTGTGATGGTCTTCTCCAACGCATCAGGGCACACCCAACAGCCTCTTACTCTGTCTGTTTTTTTATTTCACAGTTGTATTCTATGTGAGCCCAAGTGTCCCAGCTCGTTCCCCACCAGGGACTAGGTCACAGAACTACACTGCCTAATCCCAAGCACGTGGGAAGAGTTCAGGAGGGAAGAAGTTGGCAGGAGGGACTCAAAGCTGAGAAGATGCTCTGTCCTCCTGCGTTCTACCTCCTGAGATGAAGTAGAAAAGAAAGCGGAGAAGCCAAACTGGGCCAACTGGATGGTCCCTCAAAAAAAGCAGCTTTGTAGTGGGACTGGACAGGGAAGGCCCTGAGGGCAAGCACTCGCTGAGATCTGCTTGAGGGTGGTGATCACCACGGTGCCAGGCTCTTAAGCTGTAGAGCAAAGCTCCCCAAAGCCAGAGGGGAGGGTTTCACACTGGCTATGGGTTTGATTCTGGCATTAGAGGTGAAGAAGTGCATTTTGGGTTCCTGTCCCTTCCCTAAAATACCTGCTTTGACCACCTGCTGAGAAGACCAGAGGTGGCATTAGAACCAAATAACATGGAACACGTATTCGGGCACTGCAGGAACCAAACAATGTCTGTCTTTACCGGGAGTGTGCTGGGTATCCAACCTGAAACCTGCATTCAAGAGACATTCAGTTCCTTTCCATGGAGTAAAACATCTCTAGAGGGTGCCAGCTCCTGAATCTATTACAGATGCTCAGGTACGGGCGAATAAAAGAGGGCAAGCTCCAACTTGTCACTCCAGCACCTCCCCTCCAGCTCCCCTCCATCTCCCCACCGCCCCGACACGTCCCTGCTCGACTCACCAGGGGGATAATGAAGCTCTGGGTGAGCTCCAGGAGGTGACGCCTCAGAAGAGCACTCTGGACCTCGGAGGGGCGTTTCCGCTGGATGCCCTGCAAGCACAAGCACCACCATCACGGGAGGCACTGCCCTCTCTTACCCAGATTGACACAAAATTGGCAAACTATAAGCAACCAGTCCCCAGCAGCCTGGAAAACCACCCAAAATACCTGTTCCACCCTCCAGCTGAGCGTTCCGCTCACACTCCATTACACAGAATCTGTTTTTTCGGACTATTATTTTTTTTTATAAGGATTATTCTCACTTAGGTTATCATTAGTGCCAGCATTTCATCCATAATATTAAGTGAAAAAATGTAAATCTGGCATGATAAACACATCAAACTATACTGGGGTAAATCCTTACAAGCTTTTGGAGAGTTTTGTCTGTCTAAACCAAGCTGTCAGCACCGTTTTTCCATAATGACACACAAGATGTAGGACAGAGTGGAAACTGCTTACCTTTAGTAGTCTTTTTATCAGCGTTTTGTCTTTGTGAAGAAATGTTTTATAAGAAGTATAGATTCCTAGAATGAAAAAAGAACCTAAATCAGAAAAAAAACCCAAACTTTGACCATGTATCTAAAGGAGGCTCTAGATTATATATTATTATATAGCCCAAGGATAACAGAACTGAAATTCCCAGCACAAACCCTGGCAGCTCTGTGTGTGTGTTTGTGAAATTACAAAAAGTATGAAAAAATAATTACAAAAATGATGAAATTGCTAATGCAGCCAGTACTCACAGCAGAATTAAAGGACACTACAGCTGGGGAGCAGCTCTGGGGGAAGGGACCTGAGGGTCCTGGGGGACAAGAAGCTGGAGCTCAGTGAGCCATGGGGCTGCTGTGACAAGGAAAGGCAACGAGATGGGCTGCACCACCCAGGGCATCACCAGTGGAGATCAAGAAGTCATTACCCCATTCTACCCTGCACTGCTCAGGCCACACCTGGAACACGGGGCTCAGTTTTGGGTCCTGCTACGCAAAAAAGCTGTGGCCAGGCTGGAGAGGGGCCACCAACATGACCCAAGGACTGGGAAGGTGCCACGTGGGGAAAGGTTGAGGGAACTGGGATTGTTCAGCCTGGAGAAAAGAAGGCTGAGGGGAGACCTCACCACCACCTTCCAGTATTTAAAGGGTGGCTACAAAGAAGGAGACTCCCCTTTTCACAAGGAGTCCCATGGAAAAGACGAAGGGTGATGGGGAGAAGTTACTCCTGGGGACATTCCAATTGGAGACAAGGGGAATATTTTTCACACTGAGAACTATCAGCTGCTGGAATAATCTCCCCAGGGAAGCAGTGGATTCCCCATCACTGGACACCTGTAAGATCCACCTGGCCAGGGAGCTGGGCCATCTTGTCTAGAGTGTGCTTTAGCCAAGAAAGGTTCGACCAGATGATCCTTGAGGTCCCTTCCAACCTGGGATTCCATGACACTGAACTATCTCAAGGACCTTCTTACGCTAAGCTTGTGGTGAGACAACTTATGGAGTCAGCTTATGGCCAGGCCTGAGCTGAACAGTTGGTTTAGTGAGAGACAGCTGCATGTAGGTAAGCAAGTTCCTTTGACCTCCATCGCATCTAAAAAGCAGGTGTGATATATAAAATAAAATCAAGAAAATCGTAAGTTCTCCCAACTGAAATAATTTGTTCAATTGGCTTTTTCAATCACAGAACAAAGATGCACAGTTTTTCTGTACAATTTTCTGCATTAAATGGGGAGGCCACAACAGAGAACTGTGTGTATGAGAAGGTGGTAACACCAAAAAATCTGTTGAGATACAAAGAAGAGCACGTGCAATGTTCACGTGCCTGCAAACTCCCCCACCTGGGAGGGTAAATAAACTTAAATGATGTCTGATGAAAGGACTCACCTGGTTTTGTGTCCAGGGTTTTCAGCTTAGCCAGCTTCTTCACCTTGACTTGCTTGGGCAGGTCTCCTGGGGAAAGACACCAAATGACTAAGTTCAGGTCCTGAATGCACCCTCAGATTCACACACGAGAACTGTGCACTTGAGAACATCCAGTCCCACACTTGTACACCATAAATCACATCCTCCCATAACCCCACCCTCACATAAACCTTCTCGACTGCTAACTTTCCTGCTAAAATTTTGGAATAGGACCATGTTAAGGAAGAATTGCAAAAAAGCTCCACTCCTCCACCGAGAGGTCTCCTCGGCTTCATAGATAATAATCAGAGTCTCTCTCTCCACCCCTCTGTTCTCCTCTTTCCTGCCCAGGAAGGACTTCTCCTTTTCTTAAGGCTTCAGAAATAAAACACAGCAAGTTGTCCTCTCCAGGATTCCTCTCAACCATTGTCTGCGCTCACCCTGCATGTTGACTGGGTCAGAGTCTGGATTTCCCTTTGGTTTCTGAGCTCTCAGGGGAATGAAGCTGCATAAAACGATGGCTTAGCAGCTCACTGCCAGCCTCTGACCGGGTCTACCAGCACTACAGGACTTTGGTTCCACCCTTACCTGACATCCTGAGCTCCCCAACCCGAAGAATGTGTGGCCAGTGCTGGAGGGTTTTGATAAAGAAAGGGTTTGTGACTCCCACAACGATGTTTGGCCTAGAAAAAAGGGGGGAAAAAACGCAGAACAACGCTGACCTTGGGGTTTCCTTCACACAGAGAGTGGCAGGTGGGTCACAAGGGTCTACGGGCTACTTACGGAGCTTGTGTCCTGGTGGTGTACTCCTTAAATTCACTGTCGTGGATGGTAAAGTAGGGGCGGTAGTCGCAGCAGTACCGCAGGGGAGCAAGGCAGCTGGAAGAACAGACACAACAGTCACCATCCACGCTTCACACAGGAGGAACCCTCCATTTACACCAGGTTTGTGTCCCAGAGCTTTTTCATAGAATCATAGAATCATAGAATCATAGAATCATAGAATCATTGAGGTTGGAAGAGACCCTTGGGATCATCGAGTCCAACCATCTCCCCTACTCTACAAAGTCCTCCCCTACACCATGTCCCTCAGCACTGCATCTAAACGGCCCTTAAACACAGCCAGGGATGGGGACTCCACCCCCTCCCTGGGCAGCCTGTTCCAATGCCCGACCACTCTTTATGTCCCTCAGCACTGCATCTAAACGGCCCTTAAACACAGCCAGGGATGGGGACTCCACCCCCTCCCTGGGCAGCCTGTTCCAACGCCCGACCACTCTTTGGGTGAAAAATTCCTTCCTAATGTTCAATCTAAACCTCCCCTGTTGGAGCTTGAAGCCGTTCCCTCTCATTCTATTGTTAATTACCTGTGAGAAGAGACCAGCACCAACCTCTCTACAGTGTCCTTTCAAGTAGTTGTAGAGAGTTGTTTTGTCCTGCCAGAGGTAACACTATGGAGGAGATCCAGGCTTTTTGGTTTTTGGGCTTTTTTTCAGCTAAAGCAGAGTTCAAAGCCGAGGAGACAAAGTTCCTCAGGGCTATGAACAATCATGTTCCTCAGGGCTATGAACCATCAGTCTGCCGGTGACAGCAAGCTGTGTGGTACAGTTGACACACTGGAGGGAAGGGATGCCAGCCAGAGGGACCTGGACAGGCTCGAGAGGTGGGTCTGGGTGAACCTCATGAAGTGCAACCAAGCCAAGAGCAGGGTCCTGCACCTGGGACATGGCAATCCCAGGCACAAATACAGGTTGGGAGGAGAATGGCTGGAGAGCAGCCCTGAGAATAACTTGGGAATGTTGGCAGGTGAGAAGCTCAATATGAGCCAGCAGACCAGAAAGCCAACCACATCATGGGCTGCATCAAAAGAAGAGTGTCCAGCAGGTCCAGGGAGGTGATTCTGCCCCTCTACTCCACTGTGGTGAGACCCACCTGGAGCACAGTGTCCAGTGTTGGAGTACTCAAGACAGGAGGGACACAGAGCTGTTGGAGTGGGGCCAGAGGAGGCCCCGGAGATGCTGGGAGGGCTGGAGCCCCTCTGCTGGGACTGGGGGGCTGAGAGAGTTGGGGGGGTTCAGCCTGGAGAAGAGACGGCTCCGGGGAGACATTGTAGCCCCTTCCAGTCCCTCAAAGGGGGGGGCTCTAGGAAAGCTGGGGAGGGACTCTGGATGAGGGAGGGGAGCCCTAGGAGGAGGGGGAAGGGTTGGACCCTGCAAGAGGGGAGATGGAGCTGAGCTGTGGGGAAGAACTTGTTTGGGGGGAGGGTGGTGAGAGCCTGGCCCAGGTTGGGCAGAGAAGCTGTGGCTGCCCCATCCCTGGAGGGGTTCAAGGGCAGGTTGGAGGGGGCTTGGAGCAACCTGGGCTGGTGGGAGGTGTCCCTGCCCAGGGCAGGGGGTGGCACTGGGGGGGCTTTAAGGTTCTTTCTGACCTGAACAGTCTGTGATTCTATTATTTTATCATGTCTCTCTTTTACTCTTCTGTACCACTGGTGGAATACGAGCCAGACTCTCTTGCTCTTTGTCTTACACACTCTCACAGGCAAACTAAACCTACAACAATTGACTCAGCAGAAGAGTGGATCTGAAAGAGAAAAACCATCAGAATTTCTTCTTATATTTCCCCGTATCTCAGAATTTGAAGGCCTTACCTGGTAAGTGCCAGAACCATTTCTGAAGAAACTGTAGGGGATGGTGCCATGACAACGATCGGCTCTCCCAGTAACATCAGCTCCCATAACATCTGGACGTGAATGAGCACGGGCTGGAAACATCTGTGAGTAAAAGGAAGAACGAGGTTAGAAATGCAGTTCAGGAAAGACCAGACACACTTATTACATATAAATCTACCCAGATGTGTGTCTGTCCAGGAATTTGAAATCTAGGATTGATCTTTAGCATCCCATAAGAGAATCACAGAATGACAGAGTGATGTGGGGTTGGCAGGGACCTCTGGAGAGCACCCAGGCCAACCCCCTGCCAGAGCAGGGGCACCCACAGCAGCTCCCACAGCAACGTCTCCAGGGGGGTTGCAATGTCTCCAGAGAAGGAGACTCCACCACCTCTCTGGGCAGCCTCTGCCAGGCCTCTGCCACCCTCACACCAAACAACGGCCTCCTCATGGTGTTCCCATGGAGCTTCCCCTGCTCCAGTTGGTGCCCGTTCCCTCTTGGCCTGGCCCTGGGCACCACTGGGAAAAGCCTGGCCCCATCCTCCTGACACCCACCCTGGAAGGATTGCCAGGCCTTGAGCACATCCCCCCTCCCTCTGCTCTTCTCCACACTAAACACACCCAAGGCCCTCAGCCTTTCCTCAGCACAGAGATGCTCTAGGCCCCTCAGCACCTTGGCAGCCCTTTGCTCTGCCCTCTCCACCACTTCCCTGGCCTTCTGCAACTGGGTGTCTTTACACATGGTGTTGCTCAACCATTTTATACATGGTTAAAGGAAACATAAAGCAACCTGCTGATTGTACTGCTCTCAGAATGTGTGTTCATCTATGCAGTGCTCTCTTTTGCCAAGAATGGTTGGACCAGACGATTCTGGAGGTCCCTTCCAACCTGGTACTCTGTGATTCTATGATTCAAAGTAAAATGCAGGTGGATTACAGCAGAGGAATGTCTATTAGAACAGCACTTATAATGCTAAGAATTTTGGTTCAGATACACAATGTGTGTCTTTCAGAGCTTAAGCTGTCACCAGCTGAGGGTGGGAAAAACCCCCCTCTAACGAGGACAGGGGGGTGTTAAGGGCAGCACACCCAGGTTCAAACACTGCCCAAGCTCTGCAAGCCCCAAATTCTAAATGACACTCTTAAATCGAGTAATTTTTGGTTCCTCATTTCACATCTTCATTATCCCCGTGATTTATGGGACACTCTGAGCAGAGAGAGGGCAAAGCAGATGGAGAAGAGAGGGTTGCAAGGATGGTGACCCTCACCTGAAAAGATCCAGTTCATGAATGCTGGGGAGAACCATTGGGGCTGGTAACAGATTCTAAATGAGGAAGGAAAAAAAAAATAAAGAAACCCAAAACTTTTAGTAATGGAAGCATCCTGACTGAAATGCCATCTGAACTGACCACATCAATCACAACGTAGCTCCCTTTACAATAAGCCCAAAAAGAACAAGGTTAATGCTTAGAGGTATGAGCCAGGCACAGATCTGGATTGAGCAGTCAAGGTCCATATGAATTTCCTTCCCTATAAGATAATCAAGAATCCCTTCTTTTCAAGATTTGAAATACTTCCCATGTCTGCTCCCTTATTTCCTAGAGTTTCCTCTGGCAAAAGACAGAGCTTAAGATACAGATAGAGAAAATAAGGCTTGATAATATGGCCACCAAAATTTGTGAAAGACGACAACTTTATTCGAAGGAGAGAAAAAGGGAAAAGAAGAATTTAGCAAGAAGCAACATCAGAGCTGAATCAAAGGGGTAAAGATGCTGCAAAAACAACCCAGAAGACCACGGCAGGGTCTCGTGCAGACCTACCCACGCATGGATTCCCAGGAAAGGTGAGGTGAACAAAAACGGGGAGAACAACGCACGTACGTAACCTGAAGCCCACAAGTTCTGTGCGGGGTCTCCTGTTTTAAAAGGCAGAGGCAGGAGAGGGTGCAGCGTGAACCAGATGGGGAGCCCAAACCACTTTAATCCCAGGACAAAGTGGGATTTCAAACGGGATAAGGCTGAAAGCACTGTGGTCCTTCCCCACCCTCCTCCCTTAGCAGCCAGGATTCTGCCCCTCGCTGGCGCGTGTCACGTCACGCCTCATCTCACCTCTTGATTGAACTGCTTCACCGGGCTTGATCCTGGTTTATCCACCCTTGAGGGGATTCTCACCTGGACCACAAATGAGAGCAGAGAGATTACCCTGGGAGGTGGCAGCAGTTAGTGTGCACATGCTTCACTTTCCTGCCTGACAACTGCTCAGGTGAGAAAGCTTCCTCAATTACCAGTTCTAATTGTACGGATGGTAGGAATAAAGGGAGGGAATCTAGAGGAAAGAGTGATCTTAACGTCCCGAAGCAAAGGGAGTGCATGTTCTGCATCTCAGTTTGTCCCAGCGATCTGCTGGGGAGCAAAGATCATCATCAGCAACAAGTACCTGAATGACAACTCCCATCACTGGCAGGTTCAGAGTCTGTCCCGGCACGGGAGGCGGCCACTGATCGATCTCGTTGCACACTGCAGGGACACAGGAAAAGGCAAAAGGTCAGTCTGAAGGACAATGCAGCTAATCCAGCCGGTCCTATGAGTTCTGACAGATTAATTATCACTCATTTCTAGCTCACACGTCCCCCCGGCTAGCTGCAAGCAAACACTCTGTCACATAATTGGGCAAGTTTAGGTCAGACACCAGGCTCAACACCTGCATCAACGTCTCCTGCGCAGGAGCAGCAGCACTGCGCTGCTGATAAACCCTGATTAAGTCAAATAGTGGAATAAAGACCTAGACAGAGATGTAGCATTAGCAGTTTTTTCCCTCTCTCTGGGAATACACTGTATGCAAAACTGACAGCATCATCTATTCAGGCTGTCAGACATTCCCCATTAAAGCATCCTTTACAGCTGTTTATAATTTTGACAAGCCAACCGCTTGGAGGAAAGTTTTTCCCTGTTGGAATTTGTTCCAGAACGAACTAATTTGGACCATTCCAGCTGTCTTTCAGGAACCTCCTGACAAAGCCTCCGGAAGATTCCACTAGGTGAACCCTCCCCTCCCGTGTCCGAGGGCTCACCCGCCTCCAGGCACGGCTCCAGCTTGTCGAAGTATTCGGGAGCGATCAGCTGCAGCAGAGACTGGAACAGGTTCACGTATGGAAGGCGGGACACCAGCACCAGAGACTGGAAGAAGGTCCATTTAGGAGTCAGAGACAGAATCACAGAATCACAGAATCTTCTAGGTTGGAAGGGACCTTAAAGATCATCTTGTCCAACCGTCAACCTCACTGACAAAAATAGACACCCGCACAACAAACAAGGAGCATCATCACTAAACCAGACCTCCCAGCACTACATCAACCCGGCTTTTGACCACCTCCAGGGATGGGGCCTCAACCACCTCCCTGGGCAGCCCATTCCAAGGGCTGAGAACCCTTTCAGTGAAAAAAATTTTCCTAATATCCAGCCTGAACCTCCCCTGGCGTAACTTGAGGCCATTTCCTCTTGTCCTGTCGCCTGGGACTTGGGAGAAGAGACCGACCCCCACCTCTCTACACCCTCCTTTCAGGGAGTTGTAGATAGAGAGCAATAAGGTCTCCCCTCAGCCTCCTCTTCTCCAGGCTGAATAACCCCAGCTCCCTCAGCCTCTCCTCATAAGACTTATTCTCCAGACCCCTCACCATCTTTGTCGCCCTTCTCTGGACCTCCCGACACGATCGTTTCTAGCATCACATATACTTCCACTGCTTACTTTGCACTTAAAAACCAGCATCAAGAACACCAAAGAGCTCAAAATACTGCTGGAATTCTGGCTGGTGGGATTTTTTTACTGGTGGAATTCTAGATGCTGAACCCTCAGGCTTTGGGAGACCCAGGGGTTTCCACGCAGGCAAAGAGTACTGTTAAATAAATAAGCTTCTACCAGGGAGCCACCGCAACTAAGAGGGATGAGATCGTGACCTCACAGAAGATCAACTGGAAGAAAAATAAAAATAAATGGCTGACAGGTTCAAAGCTACCAAAATGACCATATCAGGTGGAGAAGCGCAAAGGAGCAGGCCACTGAAATTGAAATTAGGTAGATAAACAAAATTAAAGTATTCTTGGGAAGAAAAAACAAAGTAATTTGAAATAATGCTAATTTGTTTCCAGCAATGCCTTTTTTTGTTGTTCTTTTGGTCTCTGTCTAATGCTGCTTTGTGAAATACATCACTATTTTTTAGAACTTTTCCAACTCAGCCCCACTGGGGGGTCTTCACTACTACGCTGATTATTACAGCATCCCAGAATGATGTGGGGTTGGCAGGGACCTCTGGAGAGCACCCAGGCCAACCCCCTGCCAGAGCAGGGGCACCCACAGCAGCTCCCACAGCAACGTCTCCAGGGGGGTTGCAATGTCTCCAGAGAAGAAGACATTCTCTTCCTCTAATCATTCATGAATACATTAATCAGGATCCAGTGAAAAATTCTGTGATAGTAATTTAAACACCTCCTTTCCAACCCAAAACTCTGGGATTTGAAATAAAAAAGCCACCCAAGCGTGACAACACACTTTGCTGAGGAATTCAAGGTGCCCAGTTCCTTTGTAAGGCTGCCAAAGAGCTGGCACATGAGCCCGGTGCAAACATCTGCTCAGCAGCCCCCTGTGTTCTCCAGCTTCTCTGATCCTCCACCTTCCTGAGTGATCAACCCCCTGGAAAAAATGGATCTTAGGATCAAAGTGAAATATTTTCCCTCTCTAGAAGTCTGAAGCCTTGGAAGAGGCTGCCCAGGGCAGTGGTGGAGCCACAAAAGCCGAGCAGACGTGGTGCTGAGGGACATGGGTCAGTGGTGGGTTTGGCAGTGCTGGGTTGATGGTTGGACTCAATGATCTGAAAGGTCCCTTCCAGCCTCAACAATTCTAGGACTCTATGAAATTCCACTCCCTTTCAGGCAGCGATTATAACTATCTGAACAATACCAAGCACTTTGCATATTTATGCTGAAATAAACAGGCCATTTATATTCTTTTTCCCAGTGCCTGTGTCAAAGGAATTTAGGGTAAGAGACAAGGCTGGGGAGGTACCAGCAGTGTCCCTGCCGCCGGGTAGAATCAATCAGCCCAGCAGGAAAGCCATTCCCAGAGGGCTGCAAGGAAGAAGAAAGATTAAACCACTAATAAGCGTAGGGTTAAGCTCTAACTAGCACAGACTGCAATAACGAAACACATCCTCTCGCTGCCTGGGACGCTGGAGGTACAAACTGAAGCAAAGGCTGGAGAGCTTCAGGACCTCGTGATTCCGAGAGCAGGGCACTGCTGGTGTGATTAACGCCCCATGGCAACCGCACCCAGGTTTGTTTGGAATTACACTTTCCACATATCCCTGGCTCTCCGCGACCTTTGCCGTTTCCTGCAGAAAGGCTGTGGGTGTCACGTAGGAAGGGGTGCTATTTTACAGCTATGGAGAGGTGCCTTTTTGCAGCTCCGGAGCAGCGAGAGAGCTATCCGGTTTCGGTACTCACCTTCTGAAAATAACCTCTCTTCATCGAGCTGTCCTTGACTTGCCTGAAGTACACGTAACCGAAGTAATGAGCTGACTCCCGCTGCAGAGAGACCCGCAAGGCCCTTAGTGAGAAATCCATTACTGCTGCCACCAAACCCCCCCAGGCACTGACACAACGCCTGGCTCCTGCTGTGAAACTATTACAGCCCTCGCTCCTATTTACCAAAGTTATCCAGGCTCAGCTCTCCAGAGGGTTCACCCCACGGGAAGACAGAGAAAAGATACAAACAGCTGAATTCCCGTAGAACTACAGCCTCTGGGCAGCCCCTTTCACCAGCCCCTTTCTGCAGAGACTTCAGGGCCATCACCTAAGGGGTTAATTGAGGTTTCCATTAATGCACCCACCCTGCTGCCCCTGATGTGCTGGGGCTGGCAGCTCTCTCTGCCAGCTTAGAGGGTTTTGTTGAGGAAGGAATATACCACCACACCTATCGCATCCCTCTTCGGCCAGGCATTTAAGGCAGCACCAGTCCAGCTTTGCCCAGAGTGAAGCCCAAACTCGAGTGATGCTTCACAGCGTCCATGAAAACCAACAGATCTAATACAAATCCCCCACGATGGTTTCAAACAGCCCCCAGGGATCATTTCAAACAGACCCCAGGGATCACTTCAAACACTCTCTGCCTTCTAGGTTCCCACTGACATCAAAGAGGAAGGACAGTTATCAGTGCCGAGACAAAGACCATTCCTAATATCATTTTTTGAAGCCCCACAGGTGGCTTAAGGCACCTTTCTCTTCCCAAATATTATTTTCCACAGCCGAATCCAGTACTTTGGTGCTTTTACTTCCCTTCCTCCTTTAAAGCCAGGTGAATCTGTGCGAATCTTCTACCGAAGTGAAGCAGCAAAAATGGACACAGGCTGAAAAATCTCTAGACCAGAATTTAGGAAAATAAATCCTCCTGCTCTCTCCCAGACCAGCAATCCATTTCTGGATCATACATCACAAAAGCATCTCACAAAAAGCTTGCAGAATTGTTAAAAAGGCACATGCAGAGGAAGCATCGTCTCAAAGGAGAAAGCAGAAGAGGACAAGCTGATCTGATGGCCATCTGCTCAATTAAAAGAAGCAACAGAGCTCAGCACATCCCTTCTCTGCGTGAAAGGGCAGCTCACTGGTGGAAAAACCGCCTAACAGGCACTCCTGGTATTAGTTACAGCAGCCCCCACAGCCAGGCCAAGGGGGGATCTGCAGCACACCCAGTATTCTGGGTTTATATAGAGAGATCCTGCACCAAATGGAAAGAACTGCCATCCCTCAACAAAAGAGGTAAATGTCTAATTTACCACACAGAATCCCAGAATGATGTGGGGTTGGCAGGGACCTCTGGAGAGCACCCAGGCCAACCCCCTGCCAGAGCAGGGGCACCCACAGCAGCTCCCACAGCAACGCCTCCAGGGGGGTTGCAATGTCTCCAGAGAAGGAGACTCCACCACCTCTCTGGGCAGCCTCTGCCAGGCCTCTGCCACCCTCACACCAAACAACGGCCTCCTCATGCTGTTCCCATGGAGCTTCCCCTGCTCCCGTTCCCTCTTGGTGCCCGTTCCCTCTTGGCCTGGCCCTGGGCACCACTGGGAAAAGCCTGGCCCCATCCTCCTGACACCCCCCCTGGAAGGATTGCCAGGCCTTGAGCACATCCCCCCTCCCTCTGCTCTTCTCCACACTAAACACACCCAAGTCCCTCAGCCTTTCCTCAGCACAGAGATGTTCTAGTCCCCTCACCGTCTTGGCAGCCCTTTGCTGGGCCCTCTCCACCACTTCCCTGGCCTTCTGGAACTGGGGAGCCCAGCACTGGTCCCAGTGCTGCAGCTGGGGCCTCCCCAGGGCAGAGCAGAGGGGCAGGATGACCTCCCTCCACCTGCTGGCCACGCTCTTCTTGATGCCTCTCTTACCCCATGGTAAGGTGCACGGGTGGCCAGGCACCCTGTTGGATGTCACCAGTGTGTCACCGTCTGTTTCACTGTTGCCAGACGTGACCACTCACTGCTCTAATCCGGGGTCCCCCTGATTCAGCTCCATCCCTGAGACTAGTTTGAACTCCCAACGCAGCCCCCTATGAGTACTAACATGGAAGTTAGTCCCTGTGCCGAAATCTTCCTCCTTCTCTGACTGGAAAAATGAGTGTGTTATGCACAGAAAGCAAACCAACAGCCTATGGCTGTTAAGCCAAATATCTGGTTGCTGGCAAGTACAAGTCAACTGCTTGTATCAACTGCTGGTTCCTTGGCAGGTACAAGTAGTGCAGGGAAATGCCACTGACCTGCAGCGTCAGGGGAGCTTCTCTGTTGTACTCGCCATCGTCCTCGTAATGAGTGGTCCTCTGGCCCCCCGACTGACGCAGGCGGAAGCTGAACTGAGTGTCCCCAAGGCCACCTGAGACAGAGAAGATCACAAAGGCTCAGCAAGAAGTTTCAGCAAAGGGAAACCTGGGAATTGGTTAAATCTGAAATGCTGACATTCAGAGGGATGCTGATTGACAAGGAACTCTGAAACTGAAAACGCAGTGCGGAGTTACAGCACAAAGAAAGCCCCAAAAGTGGGTGGGAGACATAAGGGACAGAGGGCTGAACGCAAGAACTGGTATCACTGAGCTAAACCCTGCCCGGCCACTGCTGGGAAACTCAGAGCCATTGGCCAGTACCATCCACCCTGAGCCACTTCTTACCCACGACACCAAAAAACCTACAAACAGCCTTAATCTGGGATCGCCCAAACCCTGAGTGTTCACCAAGCCCTGAGAAACTAGTGAAAGCACAGCCTTAAAAACATTTAAAACTGGGCTGGGCAAAGCTGTAGAAAACTAACAGTCAGGAATAAGCGCTAAAGAAAGAGGTGCTGGGATGAATTAACATTCTTATTTATTGGTAGACACGAGCTTTGGGAACACTTCTGCTGCGAAAGCACCCTCTCCCCGTCTATTTCTCTTCACTGAGCACTTCACTCCCAGAACTGCTGACAGTCGGCAGCTGCAAACCTCAGGGAACCTACCCCTCGTGATTGTTTTTTTGTATTTTACTGGCACGGGTGAGGCATGAGTGTGCACAAGCTCGTGAAGAACTCGTCCTGTCACCCACCAGATCGCAGGTTCTATATCCGGAGTGGAATCAGAAGGACAAGAAGCCTCTTTGTTCAGACCTAAGGGCTGGGTGCTCCTCGATGCCAGGGCTCTGGGAGACAGAGCCACGGGGCTCCGCTGCAGCAGCTCCGATGACTCACCCTTTCCATCAGGAGCCCGTTTCTTTCCCTACGGCCACGAACCGCCCCACGGGCTGCAGGAAAGGCCAGCAGATGCCACCTACCTGAGTAGGAGTCCGGGAAGGACAAGTAGCAGATACTCGTTTTCTGCAAGAAACAAAGGCACACAGTAAGAAAACCTCCACTGCTGATGCTGGGGGAAAAAAAGAAAAAAAATAAATAGTTCTTACCTCTTTCTCTGTCAGTCTAAAGTCATAAGGATACACCAGCTGCAAAGGAGACAAGAGCCGGTAAGTCAATCACTGTTTCCCCACAACTTCCCCACAGACCTATACACTTTGCTTCAGACAGTAAGTGCCTTATTTTTCCCAAAAAATATATCCTACGAGAAGGTCCCTCTCCCCGTTCAAAGTCTGACTGTCCACAGACTGTCCACAGACTGTCCACTGCACCGGAGCCGCCAAAGAATCTGCATTTATTCTAGCAGATTTGCAGACAGAACAAATGGTTTATGTTTTACTTGGATTTTAACTTGAGAGTCGATATTTTGGTGAAGAAGCAGCCCCAGCACCCCACTGCCAACCTCTCTGTACGGATTCCTGATGTGCAGACGTCTGTTTTCTCTAACACAGGTGGGAGAGGGCTCTCCTGATGCTGCTTGAAATTCTGTTAACATATACCTACCCTCCAAGCTCCAAGCCTATTCAATTCTGCACCTAAATGCAAAGTTTACAAATTGCCCAGAATAATGTCCTATATAAAGTTTTGGACTTTGCGTACTTCTCATTGCTGTTTGGAGGAGGGCCACTTTTTATCTGGATTTTTTTAAAATCTTAATAAAAAGTCCCTCACAATAAGGAGTGAGGAAGGCTGGCGTCGTGAGCTGCCGAGGCGTAAAAACAGATTTCCCAGCAATGAAATGAGAAAGTAGGGACAGACTAAGAAGTTTAAAATGGCTTTAAAACAAAGCTGTGCCCCATGTGATGAGGTACGGAAGGAGTCGTCACCGGGGGATGGCACGGAGAGTGTTAACAGCCGGGGCTGGGACACCACCTTTGCAGCATCATTCTGCAAAGATACAGGCAGGGCAAGGTCCCTGTCCTCAAGGGCAGAGGGAAGGGTGAGCCAACAACAGCCCGGACAAAGTTTTCCAGCTGTATGAAGAGATCAGAAAACACCATATGCTGTGTACATGAAACAACACACGGCTGGTGTTAGGAATATATCCCAGCCTCCGGGCTGGAAATGTCTATTTAAGAGCCCTGAGCTCAGCCAGAGATGCTGTTCTCAGCGACCAAAAGGCAGAGCATGGGCAGCAGGAGGACTCCGAGAGGATTAGATACCAGAAAGAACTTGTTTGGTGGGAGGGTGGTGAGAGCCTGGCACAGGGTGGCCAGAGAAGCTGTGGCTGCCCCATCCCTGGAGGGGTTCAAGGGCAGGTTGGAGGGGGCTTGGAGCAACCTGGGCTGGTGGGAGGTGTCCCTGCCCAGGGCAGGGGGGTTAGAACTTGATGATTTTTAAGGTCCCTTTCAACTCTAACGATTCTAGGATTCTAGGATTTGGAGCTCTGGTTTAGCCTCCCTGCTCTGATCTGTTGTTAGAAAGAGAAGCCAAGGTTTATTTTGTAGGGAAAGAGGTAGGGCTGGCACGGGCTGGGAGCCTCGTGCTGTGTCAGCATCCCGGTGACAGCCAGCCTGTGCTACGCCCCATCCATCACCCAGCCTCTCCGATAAGAGAGAGCTGTCAGGAATTATAAAGCTCCTGGTTAAAGACTCTGGCTTTGCTGCCGAACTCTGTAAACGCTGATAACTCCATTTCTAAGCCCATAAAAGAGACCTTGGTGTGAGAACGGAGGGGCAGAACCGCCAGCAAGACCCAACAGCAGGACCCACCACGGGAACCCTCCCACTGAGGAGTGGGAAACGCCATGGCTACAGTGCTAACGAGCTCCACGAGTCACCGGGCACAGGACAGAACCCACTCACAAACCCGTAGGAGCAATGGACACAGCCTGCACAGCACCGGGAGAGGCAGGAATTGCTGCTGGATTGACATCAGCGGACGAGAGTGAACCTACACTGAGTGTGATGTGGGGAAAAGGGGATGGTGCTCCTCTGCCTTGGGCAGTGACTCCGCTCGGGGTCAGTCTGCGAGTCACCCCGTGCTCCCACCAGGAGCTCTCTCTCCTTACAAGCCCAGGAGCAGCCGGGGTGGCAGCGGGCCAGGGCGCTGGAAGCTCAACCAGGCGAGCTCGCCGTGCTCCGGCAGCTCCCCGCCGCCGCCTTGGCAAGGTCACCTCATCAGCTCGGGAGAGCCAGCCAAATTAACGAGCAGAAAATTAGGCTGATCCAGCCTCCGTTTAAAGCTCCTCTGAAAGATGAAAAGCCACAAAAGCGCAGGAACAAAGTTATCATGGATGAGCTGCGGCGAGGAGGCAGCACGGGGAGGGGTTTTGGAGGGACTGTGTTTGAGCGGCGCCGCAGGAGCAGCCACGCTTCCCCGCTTGGGTGAGGCGACGGAATAAATCACCGTGGCTACGACTAATTTAATGATCCCACCACCATTTGTTTTGTTAACCCCCACATAACGATGGAGAGAGCGGGAACGGAGACCTAGGCACCTGAGGCTGATTCATGGAGAAGCTCGGGAATGTCCCGGCATGGTGCTCTCTGCAGCGCCTGCTCATCACCCAGCTCTCAGTTCCTGAGTCAAAACAGGTTTCTCATCCTCCTCCTGCCTTTTCTGGGGGTCTCTCTGCCAGTAAATCAGCCCAGAAGTGGACAGTGACAGCTCCAAGCTGCTTTTGGGTCAAGCTGTAAGATATGCTAAAGCGTTTGTTTCACTTGGAGACGTGTGCTCGGCACTTTGTGGGGAAAAAAAAAGAGGAAAAAAAACCCAAATCAAACCCAAATGCTTCTGTCTGAGCATAGAAACACTGATGGACCCAAGAATTCAGACACTATGTTTTTGAAAAATAGGCCTTATCTTCTGCATCCTTCCTTCCCCTTCCGTTTAACACTCCCACATGTGCTTCTGCGCTTGGGGTGGGGAGGGAATCACCCAATACTTACAGGATGAAAACCCTGATCTAAAAGAGTAAGAATCCGACTGGCTAGAACTTTTCTAGCCAGAAGCAAAAAGACAGTAAACAAAAAGGACCTTTTCATTTGTAAAAGTCCCTGGATAGGTCAGAAGTAGCCCCAAAAGGGTTCAAATTATGTCATAACTCGTGGCGTAGCTCTCTCCCATCAATACTGATGGATTAATGAGCGCGGAGGTGACACACGGTGCTGACAGCGGATCCTTGCCCTAAAGCGTTGCTGTTGGCACAAGCCAGGGTGACCCATGCTCTGCCGCTGTCACAGCAACACGGACAACAGCCCAAAAACTCCTTCCTGGTGGGGCTGAAGTCACCCAGCTTCACAAAGTGCCTGTGTTCGGGAAAGCTGGGGGGAGGGAGGAGCCGGCGCTGTGGTGAAAAGGGAGATTTCAGAGCCAGGGGGACAGGATTTCAGCGTTTCTATGACAGCAGAGCAGTCGGAGTTGGATGGCAAAGGGCTGGTCCTGCAGGAGAGATCGTCCCAGAAACGTGTCCTCTCTCCCAGGGATTTTTGCTGTCTGTAGTTGACTGTTTGAAGAAATGTAAACCGGTGGCTGAGTCAGAAACGGTAATTAGACCCAATTTCTGCATTAACCTCTGTTTTCCTTTGTAACACCTTTTCTGCCACACGTTTAAATAGCAGCAGAGCTGGGACTCGTGGAATTTCAGGCTGGTGGTGTATCCACGCTGCGAGATGACTCCACAGGACACAGGTCAAGCAACATTCAGAAACCCGAGCGGAGCCTGACCAAGCTCGTGGTTATGAGGTTGTATCCGCAGAACCTGCCCCATCCCAGGGGTAACTCTGTCTGTCTACTCCGTGTCGCTGAAGGACAGACAACAGGCACCAAGCAGGCTTCAACGATGAGTAAATTTGGGCAGCACGGGAAGGAAAGAGATGTTTTATCTGGGAAGAATCCTATATTCAAGAAAAAGCAATCCCCAGGACAGGATGGTGGTCTCAGCACAGAAACCCTGGCTGGGACAGGGCTGCTCCTGAAGCAGAACTGCCGGGGACTTCCTAAGGCTGGAGGGGGGATGTCTGCACCCCCACACACTGGTTTACAGAGATGATGCAAAGCAACGGTGCAGCCTCCAGAACGGGGGGTTTCCCTTCCTTCTGACTCACTTTGCTGCGAGCGTGTGAGGCTGGCACTGTGCAATCCTCGGGTGTGCGAGCAGCCTCGGTGCATAAATCACTCTTCAGAGGGATGGAGGTACGTCCACAAAACCACAGAGAGCTCTGGCAAGATCTAATCTCGGGCAGCTACACCGATCTGGTAACGCCGATGGCAAGCTTCCCCTGCAGACTCAGCCAGGACCGAAGTCCCACAGGGCTGGGTGCCACAGATAGATTATTTTCTTTAACCCAGAAACTTGCAATCAAGAGCCCGAATCAGAAAACTCCCTCCTCTCGGCTGGAGAAACCAGCCCGCTTGGAGGGAAGCCGTAGGATCTGGACCCAATCTAAACCAACAGAGGCAACAGATGGCAATAGGGGATGAGCAGGAAGATTACACCGTTTGACTGCTGGCAATAGGGACATTGACACTTTTTTTTTCAGAAGACAGTAACAGCTTGAGCTATTTTATTTTCCCAAGCCCATCAAGAACGGAACGTGGGATCTTTATCACACAGCTCCTCCTCCGCCTGGCTGCCTTTCCGGGGCTCTCACCCAGCAGAGCCCTGGTCCTTGCCCAGACCCTTTGCTCAGAGAAACCACAACCAAAGGATGGGTGACACTTGTGCCATCCCCCAGCTCAGATGCTGAGCCACTCCCAGTCCCCTCGGTCATTTATGCCAGAGGAGAAACATTTTTCCCATCAATACTTATGTAGGCAAAGGAAGGAAAGGGAGGAAAGGGAGAAAAAGAAGAAAAACACCTTTCCAAGGATTAACAAACCATATTACTGCACACCCCAACCACAAAGTCCCCTCCTCATAATGCCAGACAGGTAACAGAACCGGTAAGAAAGCACCTTTCTAGCTCCATATTAAAACACACCTATGAAGCGTTTAATTGTAAATGCTAATTATTATCCCAGTATTCATATCCTTTCTGGGGTATTTCACATCTGGTTTTGCAGGAATGAGGATAAAGCATGTGAAACTTAGGTCTACAGTACATTGTTTTTTATTTCTTTTCAGGCTTCATGGAAAGAAATAGTCAAGTATTTAAGAGAGCAGAGGGACAATAATCTATAACTCAATCTCTGCCGCTTCCCATTTCCTTCAGAAGCTTCAGCATGACTTTAAAAATGGAAAGTCTTAACCCTCTGAAAACCAGCGTTAACCTCCTTACACAAAGGCAAAGTGAGAACTTCCCACTGTTACACAACAAATGCCGAGGAATTTGAGATAATGCCCGAGGGTCAGCATAATCCAGACCTTCTGTGTCACCGTCTCCGAACACTGACCAGCTCTCGCCTTCAGTCCCGCTACAAGCCTCAGGAGCCCAACTCCCTTCAAATCCTCTCGGAAGCGACCACCACATGTTTCCAGGGAATAGGAAGAAACCATTCCAGCCCTTTCACTCCCCGTTCATCTTCTCTGGCCCCCCAGCGACCCCCACAGGCATGTCAGACCTCCTGGGAAGCCCCCAACAGAGCAGCCTCAGCCCCCCGCTCCACTGCACCCCGTTATCTCCCCATCACTCCCCCACTCCTTCCCTGTGACACCCACCTCAACTCCCCCTTAGTGCGGGCTGACCCCACACATCAGACCTGTATTTCTGAGTGAAACCCCCCCTAGTTGGGGGGGTTCAGCCTGGAGAAGAGAAGGCTCCAGGGAGAACTTGTTTGGTGAGAGCTTGGCCCAGGTTGGGCAGAGAAGCTGTGGCTGCCCCATCCCTGGAGGGGTTCAAGGGCAGGTTGGAGGGGGCTTGGAGCAACCTGGGCTGGTGGGAGGTGTCCCTGCCCAGGGCAGGGGGTGGACTAGGTGGCCTTTTGAGGCCACCCTCCCAGCTCCCAGTCTCCATTCACTCCAGTGCCCTGGCCACATCCCCCCTCGCCCCCCATCTCTGCTCTGTCCCCCCCCTCCCCTGCCTGCTTGCTGCCCCACACAGCTCCATCCATCACCACAGCACTGCCTCCATCATCCTGCCCGTCCCTTGTCCCCATCACTCTGCCTGTCCCCCTGTTCCCCCTGTCACCCTGCCTGTCCCCCCTTCTCCCCATCACTCTGCCCATCCTCGCTTGTCCCCATCACTGTGCCTGTCCCCAAATTTCCCCCGTCACCC